CCTAGAGCAACAAGTAAAGTCATATCTCAAGCATAAATCCCGAGCATACCAATTCAACATATAAATTTGATCCCATAAAAGTTTCCCTTTTTGTGTCAAGCGATAATCCCTAAAGTATTCACATTGATCCAACATTACTCCCATTATCAAGTTGAATGGGGTTTTCTCAGGATTATCAAAGTAGTACATAATATTTTTCACATAACGAGCATCAAGGGTTTTAGGAGGTTCCCCATCTCCATGGGTAGCAAGTATCACTATTTTTTTGGTGTTTCATGTTCCATATGCATAACTAAAGATAGTGAACAACTTAGAACAGGAAATAAAAATTAATTAGTGATAAAGCAAACAAGCCACGAAAATATTTACCCCACGCTATTGCTCCCCGGCAATGGCGCCAGAAAAAGGTCTTGATAACCCACAAGTATAGGGGATCGTTCGTAGCCTTCTTCGATAAATAAGAGTGTCGAACCCAACGAGGAGCTAAAGGTAGAACAAATATTCCCTCAAGTTCTATCGACCACCGGTACAACTCTACACGCACTTGACATTTGCTTTACCTAAAACAAGTATGAAACTATTTTGCAAGAATAAAACTATGAGTACTTTGCGAGAATAAAACTACAAATAAATTGCAAGGCAATAAAAGTGGATAGCTTTGTCAACAAGAAAGTCATTTGTCCCTAGGCAATCGATAACAAGTACCTGTAATTATTCTTGTAATTTTATATGAGGGAGAGGCATGCACTAACATACTTTCTCTACTTGGATCATATGCACTTATGATTGGAACTTTAGCAAGCATCCACAACTACTAAAGATTATTAAGGTCGTGAAACCCAGCCATAGCATTAAGTATCAAGTCCTCTTTATCCCATACGCCATAGCCCACCTACTTGGGTTTAAGCTTCGGTCACTCTCGCAACCCACCATAAGCGAACCATGAACATATTGCAACACCCTACAGCGGGGGCCCCTTGCGTTTGTGCGAGACGGAGGGCACCGTAGGATAACGCCATAAATAAAATATACAATCATACCAACCAAGATCACGATTAACCTATAGGACAAAACAGATCTACTCAAACATCATAAGATAACCATAGATCATTGGGAAATAATATATGGAGTTGAGCACCATGTTTAAGTAACGATTACAGCGGGGAGAAGGGGTGTTACACCACTGCATAGAGGGGGAGAGAGTTGGTGATGACGGTAGCAAGGTTGTTGATGTAGATCGCCGTGACGATCCTAGCCCCGGCGGCACTCCGGCGCCATCGGGAGAGAGGGGGAGAGAACCCCCTCCTTCTTCTTCCTTGGCCTCCCCCCTAGATGGGAGGAGGGTTCCCCCTCTGGTCCATGGCCTCCATGGCGGCGGAGGGGTGGGAGCCCCTCCGAGATTGGATCTCCCTCTCTGTTCTCTTCTATTTCGCGCTCCCCAGATGTGGCCAAAAACTGTTTCTTATATTCCCGGAGATCCGTAACTCCGATTGCGTTGATCATTTTACACGATTTTTTTTCCGGATATAAGCTTCCTTGCACCTGAAGTAGAGATCCAACCGACGTTCGAGGAGGGCACAACCCACAACCACGCACCAGGGGCCTGGAGCGCGCCCTGGTGTCTTGTGGGCTGTGTGGGCCTCCATTTGCGGTGATTCCAACTCCTAAAATTCACAAATATTCCAAAATAATTCTCCGTGGAGTTTTATCACGTTTGGACTTCATTTGATATGGATTTTCTGCGATACAAAAACAAGCAACAAACAGGAACTGGCACTGGGCACTGGATAAGTAAGTTAGTCCAAATAAATCATATAAAAAGTTGCCAAAAGTATGTCAAAGTTGTATAATATTGGCATGAAACAATAAAAAATTATAGATACGATGGAGACATATCACACCCTTGCTCTTTTGTTGTTGTAATTTCCGCCAAGATTTCCAGTGTACTTTATGATGCCCTTTAGCGGCTCTCTAATAGAAACTCCTGACCATCTCCGTGAGATCATCGCAAATAGCGAAGGGTAGTTTAAAAACTCCCATGATGAAAACTGGTAGTGCATCAACCACAGATTTAATTAACACTTCCCTGCCAGGTTGGGCAAGATGTCCATCCCCCATTGGATGAGTCTCTTCATAAGCTGTGCTTGTAGGTTTTGAAACCAACCTTTAGACATTCTGCCATTAGGGGTTGTTGGTAGCCCTAGGCACTTCTCCTCAAATCCTGTAACTGTTACATTTAGAACTTCTCTGACGCCCTCCTGAGAGTTAACCGTACATGCCTCCTCAAACATGATAGAACATTTATTTTAATTTAGTAGTTGACCAGTGGCATTTGCATAGAGATCAAGGCGGGATTTAACTTGTTCATCTTGCGGCCGTGACACCTCAAAGAACAAAAGCATGTCATCCGCAAACAGAAGATGTGAAATACCGCGTGCACACTGAGAATTTTTTATTGGAGTAATCAATCCCATTTCTACATTCCGTCTTAGAATTGCAGAAAGACCGTCAATAATGAATATAAAAAAAGGGGAGAGTGGATCACCTTGCCCAAGGCCACAAGACGATGCAAATGAATCCAAGAGGGTTCCATTGAATCTCACAGAATATCTAACCGATGTGACATAAGTCATAATCCAGGTAATCCATCGACGAGTTGCATCACTTGCCTCAAGAAGTTCCAATCTACCCGATCATAAGCTTTTGACAGGTCAAGTTTGTATGCACATAAACAAAGGCAATCAGTGCATTATTTGTGATCATCCTGCCGGATACAAAGGAACCTTCTTCATGTGAGATAATAGCATCCAATAGAGGCCTCAACCTGTTTACAAGACATTTGGAGACCACCTTGTAAATCACATTACACAGACTAATGAGCCTAAATTCAGAGAGCTTCTTGGGATTGGCAATTTTGGGGATTAAGACAATAGAACTATCATTAACCCCTTCCGGCATCACTCCCGTCCTAAAAAACTTTTTGACTACCTTAACAATGTTTTCCTGCAAACATCCCAACTGCGTTAAAAAAATCTCGCCGGGAACCCATCTGACCCTGGTGCCTTCAAAGATCCTATCTGGAAAAGAGCATCAGATATCTCCTGATCGGAGAAGTCAGCACATAGTTTGTCATTTTCATCATGTGTTATTACCGCATGAAAGAGGTCCACAAGCGCTGAGGCATTTAATGATGGATCAGCTATGAAGATGTTTTTAAAATAAGAAGTGGCCATGTTACACATAGTTCCAGTGTATGTGAATACATTACCATCATTGTCTAGAAGCTCCCGAATTTTTTTCCTAGCTCTCCAAACCGACTTGCTCTGGAAGTATTTTGTGTTCGCTCTCCTTGAGCCACGTGATACGGGACCGTTGTGGCCATAACATCTCTTCTTTATAAGGAAGTTCATTAAGCTTGTCAGAAACCTTTCTTATCTCCTGCCTGTCAGCATTCATTCTCATCAGCTCCTCTAGCTGAGTACACGATTAATTAATTTCCCTTGTGATATTCCCAAACCTCTTGTTGCTCCATGATCTAAGGGACGCCATGGTAGATCTCAGAGCATCATTAACCCGACCCAAGTTATCCATAGCACCAAAGGCAGTCCAGGCATTTTTTTATAAAATCTGGTAACCTTGCATCCCTCTCCCAAAAAAAAATCTCATATCTTCTTGCCTTTGGTCTGGGACTCTCCTGCTCCGCAAAAAATTTCAAAAGAAGCGGCACATGGTCCGAGCAGGGGGAGCTAGATGTTGTACAGAGGCATATGTAAACATGTTTCTCCATTCATTGGTTGCAACAACACGATCTAGGCGTACACGTACATTAGCATAGGCTGCACACATGTTATCATATGTATAAGGGACTCCAATAAAGCCCAAATCAACAATTCACATGTCATGAGCACATCACAGAATGCCGCCATTTGAACTTCAGGTCTAGGGGTCAAGGAGATGTGCTCAAAATTCCACAAAGCCCCATAAAAGTCTCCAATAACCAACCATTATGAAATGATGAAATATGTTATTATAAAATCTTTTTTGAAATTAGTGGAATATGCTATTTAAAAATAATTTTAAAACATGAGTGAAATATCTTAGATGAAATTAGTGATTTTTTTTGTGAAATGGGTGAAATCTGTTTTGAAATGTGTGAGAAATGTTATTGCGAAAAGAGTGAAACACATTATTATGAAATTAGTGAAATATGTTGGTATAAAATCTTTTGTGAAATTAGTGGAATGTGTTATTTAATATATATTTTTAAATGAGCAAAATATGAAATTAGTGAAATATTTTTTGAAATGTGTGAAATCTGTTTTAAAATGAGTGAAATATGTTATTATAAAATGAGTGGAATATATTTAATCAGGATTGATCTTGTTTTAAAGATCTCGCCGGCAGGAATTCCAAATATATAAAAACATTTAAAAGTTGAGGTTTCTAAAAGAGATATCATATCAATGAATTAATATCTCTCGAACAAATAAAAATGCTTGGTTTTCTATGGGACAGTGGATGGGCAGAGCATGACTGACGTAACACTATTTCCCTGCTAATGCTGACACGGAATTATGCAGCATATCCGACAAGTTAGGTGGGTATTGTACATAGCAATGCTGAGAAGAAGCATTAGAATATTTTACGCTGCATTTCGAGCGGGCATCTCGGGGCCGGGATGAACGGCTGGACCATGTACGGAAGGTCCCGTGCATGGTAGATTTTCCACTTTGGACATACATACTTCAGCGGTTCAACATTTTGTAAACTACTGTACTACGTGGGCAAGAGGCCAGGAAGCAACCTATGCCGGTGCCTTGTTGTTCCAGGATTATCATCACACATGACATGATACATAAATGATACTTCCTCTGTAAATTAATATAAGAGCGTTTAGATTACTAAAGTAGTGATCTAAACGCTCTTATATTACTTTACGGAGAGAGTAGTAGGTAGATACATGGATCTGCTTGGTCCTCTTTCCGTGTACAGTTTTTAGCCTAGGACAGGATGGGAGGGGTGCAGTAGGGTCCCCTCAGCAGTGCCCCGGCGATCACCTTGTTAGCCGCCTCCGTGGGGTGGATGCCGTCCCAGCTGAGCCGCGCCGACGGGTTGCGGCAGGCCACCGTCGCCCCGTCCATACCGCACCTGGCGCCCAGGTCGAAGTTGTACTTGCCCCCTCCCGCCCCGCAGCACGCCTCAAACGGAGCGCTAAACCCTAGCGCGCCAAGCCAAAGCCAAGCAATCACTCAGCTCAGCTCCTCCATGGATCCCATTCCCATTCCAATGAATTGTTCAAGCTACTCCCTCCGTCCGAAATACTTGTCGAGGAAATGGATATATCTAGACGCAATTTAGTTGTAGATACATTCATTTTCATCCATTCCTTCGACAAGTACTTCCGGACGGAGGGAGTACTAGAGAAACCAAGGAAGAAAACTTGCTAGTACGTACCAAACTTGTGGGGCTCCTGGACCATCTGGTACACGAGGCCGTAGTAGTCTGCGTACATGAGCCTCGTCGAGTTGCGGTGCTTCCGCTGGAGGGCTTCCACCTGCTTCCGGAGCATCGAGTTGTGGTACCTGGTCAGGAGGTTGTAGGCCTTGAGGCAGCCGGTGTCGTCCAAGTCGCCGTCGCCGAACAAGGACAGGAAGATCGGCAAGCAGCCGGTCGGGAAGATTCCCGGGACGACGACGTGGACGGCGCCGAGAGCAATCAGTTTCTGCACAAGAATTCCTCCGGAGTCTTTCCTGGCTGGAACTTACATGCATGCAAAATTTGCTGTCAATGGTACACAAGACATAGAAATAGATACCTCCACGCCGTTGGCGATGGCACCAACGATCTTTGGGGTGTAGTTCGTTGCCTGCTCCGGTGTCAAGCCACGTTCAAGCAGCTGCACGTTGTAGTCGTTTCCGCCGTATGCACCGAACATGAAGAGCGATTTCCTCAGGTATCCTTTGCAACCTAGTACATGCATGCAACACGTTTCACTGTCTTTTCTTAACCGTTGGGCAGGAATGGTGAGCTATGTCATAAACAATGAACACGTTTAGACTTTTTCACCGGACCGGTTAAATTAAAGTACTCCCTCCGTCCCAAAATTCTTGTCTTAGATTCGTCTAAATGCGAATGTATCAAGTTACGTTTTAGTATTAGGTGCATCCATATCTAGCGGGCATCTCAGGGCCAATTTGTTTAAAAAATAATGCATGAGACTTGGATGGAATACTTCAAAGGAAAAAGTCTTAAGAAAATTGAGAATAATAGTGCATGCTCACTCTGCTCTGTCCCGCATATGGACGGCAACAACTCCTTGAACCATTGGATCTGCGTGTCTAGTGAACCATGGTTCCACACCGGATCTTCAACGCCGAGAGCTTTGTAGAAGGAGAAGTTCATGGCCGTGCCACCGGTGATGGCCATGTTTACGCCCCGACGGAAATCTGTGCCTATCGCTTTCGACGGTGGGAGTAATGGAAGCCCAAGTGCTTGTGCTGGCATCCATGGACACAAATAAAATTGAAGTTATAACAAACTTCTGTCTTAGTTGATTTGAAAGTAGATCAAACATTCAAACAAAATATCTCAACATAAGGGTCACACTTTTCTTGCAGGAATTGTTTCTTGTAGTGATTTTTGGGTTTAAAGAAGACAAAAATCATTCATTTCCTTCATTTTATTGGTTGGTAAAAACGGATGAATTACCGATGAAGTCAACGACCACGCGGCCGTCGCACCACCGGCAAGACGGCCTTCCGAAGTAGGTTTCGCCGTAGGGCGGGTGGGTACAGGTGAGCACGTTCAACTCCGTCTTGTTGCTGCTGCCGGCGCATATGTTGCCAGTCTCATCCATGGAGTCACCGAAGGTGAACATGGCGTTGTATTTCTTCAGTGCCGCCGTCGACGATGTTGCACCACTGGCCGCCGCCACCGTGATCAGTTGGATGGCTAAGGAAGCCGTGAGCAGCGATGAACGTAAGTAGTATAAGCTTGGGAGTTTCATGGTGACCTCAAAATATTTCGCTTGGACTAGTTATTAAACTTACTTGGTGGTGATCTAATGGCGGCGAGGTTGGAGAATATATAGATAGACACACTGCTGACTGTTGTCCTTGCTAAATGCTGCACAGTTGGCCATCAATGAAGTGTCCAGAGTGGTTGGGTTGCAACATATCGAGGCTCATTGGTAAATGCTCAACGGTTCACCATCAATTGAGCCGCGAGAGTGGTAGGATTTCAACATCACTAGAATGGTTGGGCGCTTTGCAGCGCCTTTGGTGTTGTTGAGTTTCTTTAAAAAAAATAATCACTATGTTTTAAAATATAGGGTGTATTACTTTTTTGAAAAGGAAAATCTTTTAAATTTGTAGAGAAATATATCAAAATCCATAATATCAAATCGTTCGCAAAAAAATGGATAAAGGATTTCAACATCGAGGTTCTATGAGATTTTATGGAATATATATATAATTTTTGAGAGAAAGAATCAACGCACGACAGTGCCCGAGGACCCCACAAGGCAACAGGGGGTGCCCTGATGTCTTGTGGGCACCTTATAGGTTAGTTGATGCCCTTCTTTCGCTGCAAAAAAAATAATTTCTGGATAAAAATCCCCTCAAAATTTCAGCCTAATCGAAGTTACGGATCTCCGAAAATATAAGAAACGGTGAAGGGCTCCGAAAATAGTAGAGAAAAACTTAAGACAACATAGAAACCCAATCTAGGGGAGAGCCCCCTCTCTCCACGGAGGGCCCAGGAAGCAGAAGAAGGAGGGGCCCCCTACCCCTCTCCTCTGGTGGCACCGGGATGTTGCAGGGGACATCTAGCTAGCTTAGACCACATCAAATGTTTGTTTTCCACTCGAGGTTCACCGTAAACGGTAGTTAATCTCAATTGATTGCCTCCAGGGGAGGTAACCGTGATGTTGCTACTGCTTGAGCTGGTGTTGCTTTTTCCCTTGAAGAGGAAAGGGTGATGCAGCAAAGTAGGGATACGTATTTTCCTCAGTTAAGAATCAAGGTATCAATCCAGTAGGAGGAACACACAAGTCCCCAATGAATGAACCTACATAAACAAACAAATACTTGCACCCAATGCAAAAAAAGGTGTTGTCAATCCCTTTACGGTTACTTGCAAAGATGAGATCTGATAGAGATAGGTATAAAAGATAAGTAAAAGTGCAAAATAAAGTAAAGGTAAATAAATTGCAGCAAGGTATTCTTGTGTTTTTGATTTTATAGATCTAAAAATAATATGATAAAAATAGACCCCGGGCCATCGTTTTCACTAGAGGCTTCTCTCTTGAAAGAAGGCATACAATGGGTAAACAAATTACTGTTGAGCAATTGATAGAAAAGCGCATAGTTATGACGATATCTAAGGCAATGATCATGAATATAGGCATCACGTCCGTGACAAATGGACCGACTCCTGCATGCATTTACTACTATTACTCCACACATCGATCTCTATCCAACATGCATCTAGTGTATTAAGTTAACAAGAACAGAGTAACGCCTTAAGCAAGATGACATGATATAGACCGATAGATCCAATCAATATGAATAAACCCCACCTTTTTATCCTTAGTGGCAGCAATACTAATACGTGTCATGTCCCCTTCTGTCACTGGGTATAAGCACCGCAAGATTTAACCCACTACAAAGCACCTCTCTCATTGCAAGAAAAATTAATCTAGTTGGCCAAACCAAATCAATAGATCAGAGAGAACTACAAAGCTATCTTAATTATGCATAAAAGAGTTCAGAGAAGACTCAAATAATATTCATAGATAATCTGATCATAAATCCACAATTCATCGGATCTCAACAGACGCACCGCAAAAGAAGATTGCATCGAATAGATCTCCAAGAACATCGAGGAGAACATTGTATTGAAGATTAAAGAGATAGAAGAAGCCATCTAGCCACTAGCTATATATGGACCCATAGGTCTATCCTAAACTACTCACACACCAGAAGAAGGGCGGCAAGGTTGATGTAGCAGCCCTCTGTGATCGAATCCCCCTCCGGCGGAGTGCCAAAAAGGCCCCTAGATGGGATCTCACGAGAACAGAAGTTTGCGGCGGCAGAAAAATAATTTTGGTGGGCCCTCTGGTATACGGGGAATATTTGCGTATTTATAGAGCATGGATTAGGGTTAAAGGAGCATCAGGGGGCCCACAAGCCTGAGGGTGCCCCCCTGGGGCGTGTCCTCCGAGCTTGTCGCCAACTGGTGGCCGCTTTGACCCCCTCCCGAAGGTTCTTGGGTGTCTTCTGGTCCAAGAAAAATCCTCAAAATGTTTCGTTACATTTGGACTCCGTTTTGTATTGATTTTCTGTAAAGACAAAAACAAGGAAAAAACAACAACTCGCCCTTGGCACTAGGTTAATAAGTTAGTCCCAAAAATGATATAAAATAGCGTAATAATGCATATAAAACATCCAAAATGGATAATATAATAACATGGAATAATAAAAAATTATAGATACATTGGAGACATATCAGATGTCAATGAATAGGTCATCTGTTTCCTTCCCAGAACTGAAACGTGAGATGATTCATGCCAAAAAGGAGCTAATCCTCCACTGAGTCCATTGCTATTAATACCCTCAAATCCTTGGAGCCTGAGGCGCCCTCTAATCCTATTCATTTTACTTGCTTTTTGTCTAGATTCACATAAGAAAACAAACATGGGGGAATGCGACTGTACAAGTGGTCTTCGACCCCTAGTTATTTGAAGTTGAAGAAAGGATGAGATATAGAAGATCAAAGGAGATTTATATTTCCTTTTGGGGTTTATTAATGAATCAATTTGTGTAGGACAATCCGTACTATAATGAGGGGTATGATAACTACGTTTCTAGAACAATCTTGATGATTGCTCAATCATACCTTAGAAGAATTCTTTTGAAAATCTCCTTTGATGTTTCTGGAAGAATCTCTATTATTGCTCAATCACACCTTAGAAGAATTCCTTTGAAAATCTCCTTTGAGGCATGGGTAGTGATTCTTGGTGATACCGGTTTTGAGACCGACATTATTGAGATTGGCCTTTGTTTTGATTGCTGGAAAAACTTAGATGTCCACAGTCTTGAAGAGGTTCAATGTTGTTACGATCGTTTTTCATCCCAGTGATGCTCAAAATAGCCTATGTGTTGGAGAGTTCGAGAGACCTACCTCTAAGGGTTGCCCTAGGTGCTTGACTTCTACATCCAGCATGTCTGGTTGGGAAGCATGTTCTGTATCGATTTGGTTCTTTCACTTTCATTTTGTGTCTTCCCAAGAATCTTGTATGAACTCATGGTTTCAAGTCCTGCTCCATATCAGTATCGGTTCTTCCACTTTTAATTCCCTTAGTTTTGAGATTCTTCTCTTGACTTGTGTATTCTGTGATGTGTACGTAGTTGGTTCAAGTATCGGTTGCACCAAGTCATGGGTCCACACTACTAAGATTTGGTACTGGATATGACTCTTCATAGAAATCCATCAATCTTGCCATCCTGGTGAGATCGTGTTCCATCTAGAACTGATGACCCCGAGTTGAACAACTTCATTGTCTCTTGTGTTTCTTTACAATATGCATGTTGCTTTAAATCATTGTTCTTCCGGTATGGAATCCAAAAGTACAATGCTATATACCATGACCCCAATTGAGCTTGGGTGGGCACTTGGACTAATTTCTTTCTCCCCTCTCTATCTCTCTCCTCCACATCTTGTTCCCCTTGTTCCTCGCACATATGACATCTACTCTTTGCGAGGAAACATTTTTGAGAACTGAGATTCGAATCAACCCTTTAGCAAGAATTTCCTAAATCATTATTTACTACTATTGGAAATTTGTGATCTCCTAGCCGGCTAAGTGTTCGTTGAGAGTTCTAATTTGTGAATTCGTCTCAAACAAGTTTGTGAAGGTTTGAAGGTCACCACAAGGTCTAATGCTAGTCAAGTGAACTCATACTTTGTTTAGCGAGGCTCAAGGAGATGAAGAAGAGACTTTGTTTTGTTAAGGGTACTTTGTGTTCCTCACGCCACCCCAACAGAGATTAG